TATACCAAGGTTTAAATTATATAGAGTTGATGACGCAGAGGTAGAATATTCATCAACCACTCACGTCGTCCGGGATACAATCCCTGGTCGATGCACTGCCAAACCCTACTCAGCTGATAATAAGCCCATCAAAGAGGGTAGATTAGATGTGAGCCTGGCAACGCCACCCTGTAAAAATAAAACCACTGCTATCAAAACTTTAATGCTCAGGCTTGAGGCCCTATGTTCCACCGAGAATGCAAGTATACGACGCCTCATTTATCAGAAAGTTACGTAATATGATGAACTATACTACCGGGCAGTATTCGTAGCAGTAAAGGTTGAGTATATATATATAATTCTTCTCCACTTCTGTTACAAATTTCCACTAACTGAATTCAGTAGAACTTTGGACTTTATGGGGGATGGAAAATGGTATGCCTCAGCTTCAGAAAAACTTCCTAAATGAGACAGACACCATAGTGTTACACTCAGAAAAGCTTTCCGGTTTTAGAGCTGTTGAAAAGATACTACATGACTTATTTACTTGATTATAATCAACGATGCTTAAATCACGAATTTCGACCGGATATATTGTCCAGTGTTTGTTTGTAGTCTAACCATGAATGTTAATTACGTAACAGTGGCATATATATACTATTGTTTCCTTTAATTCCTAGAGGAACATAGGGCTTCAGCCATGCGTCTCCAGTGCGTTCTCTGCTGGAGTCTTCACCTGGCTCCAAGTCTGTCCACACGTTTTCATCTCCTCTTCACATGACCTCCTCCAAGTCACCCTTGCACTGACGACCATCTGATCTTGAGTATTGAGCGAAGACAACTGTTAATGAAGGTCTGTAGTTTGTTTGAGATGCTCTTCATGACGCGCAGTGCAACTCTCTGATCTGTATAGTAGCACTGACTGACTTCGCATTGGAGTTGAAAATCCGGATCTTATTTTTGATGCTGAGTGCTGTTGACCTCCACACAGACTTGAGAGTAATGAAAGCTTGTCTTGCTTTTCCGATTCTTGCTTTGATGTCCTCGTCAGTTCCGTCGGCCTGCAGTTGAAACGATGCTTCCCAGTTAGTTAAAGCAGGTTGTTTCTTTCAGGTTCCTCCCATTTATGCTGATTGTTGTCTGTTGTTGCTGTTGGTGGTGTTGCCCAAGAATCTTCATCACCTTTGTTTCCTCTATGTTCACCTGAAGTCCTATCTTTGAAGCTTCTTCTGCCAACTTGTTGCTTTTCGCTTGCATATCTTCCAGTTTGTGGGGAATCAGACATATATCACCGGCGAAGTCCAGATCCTCCAAGTTTTTTGTGCGAGTCCATTTTACGCCTGTTTCCTCATTGCCCGCTGTTTGTCGCATTATCCAGTCTATTGCAATCAGGAAAATCATTGGCGACAGAAGGCAGCCTTGTCTTACTCCCGTCTTTACTTCGAAGGATTCCGTAAGTTTCCCGACCATATGTATATATATACCCCTCAAAGCTGTAAACTGTGACCATTGAATAGGCTGAATCCATATATAACATACAACCACCAACTATCGTGCACATTACAATCTGACAAATGATCAGTATGTTAAATTCACTGTTAAGTGTTTTAAATGCAGACGAAATAGCATCAATATGCAAACTGATAAAAGCCAGAATGCGTTTCATACACACACACAATAAAAAAGGGAATATTATTTGATTTAATTATACGTTGTCTTTTTTTTTAATATTCTGTTTGTGATTCACTTTTTGGCGGTGATTTTTCTGTTTAGAGTCTATTACTTAAAATCATAATAAGAAACGTATAAAACTCTCACATGACCCACTTATAGAAAAACAATCGTCATATGATTTGAATTACGTAGAGGTCTGCGATGAATATATATATATATATATACATATATATATGTAGTGAATAAATTCATGCTCTCATTTATTATTATTATTCTGTCGTAAAACACTTGTCTAATATGTGTAATAATCAAGACATACCAGAAACGCACAAGACAATGTTTACAATCAAACTTAATAGAAATATGACAACTCACAAAAAAAAAGGATGATTTAAATGAAAAAATGCTGTTTACACGGTGAGTAATAATGAGTAGAAAAACTAGAAAAATTCCTTTGTTCAAATTTAAAAGTGAGATTGACACTTAGAGGGATGCAGAAAAACAACATTGGTAATTAATTAGTGTAAATTTATTTCTACAGACAATGTTCATATATATATTAGCTGACATAGCCTCGCCTAGTTAACTAGCTTGCTAGTTTTCTAGCCAGTCAGCCCCAAGCTCAGGTAAAGAGGGAGGGTTGGGCGTAAGGCTAGCAACCCTACACCACTAAACCTATCAAACCGCTAGAGAAATTTCAATGCACAGAAAATATATTAAAAATACAAAAACTACAAATAACAACAATCTTATTCTTCGCTTGAATCGGAGAGGCGAAATGACACAGCGGACTGGTGATAGCCTTCAGGAAGCCAGTCAGCCAGCCGATGTGTCTTCTCTCGATGATAACAAGAACAAGGATAGGGATGTGGAATGTCTGTACAATGTATGAGACTAGGAAGGCTGCCCTGATGGCCACCGATAAGAAGAATATAGATTTGGATTTCGCAGATGATATATGTCTAATGTCACACAAACTCGAAGACCTGCAGGCGAAAACCCACAAAGTGGCTGAAGAGGCAGCGAAAACAGGACTTCAGGTGAGCACAGAGAAGATGAAGGTGATGATAATAACCAAACAACAACAACAAAAAGCAGCACCAATCACCATCAACGGGAGAGATTTAACAGAGGTTACTTCCTTAACTTATCTAGGAAGCATCGTTTCAACCACGGCTGGCGGAACGGCTGATGTCAAAGCAGGTCAGAATCGGAAAGGCAAAATACACCTTTATCAAACTGGAATCAGTTTGGAAATCTTCTGCACTCTGTATCATTAAGAACAAGATACGAACTTTCAACACCAATGTCAAGTCAGTCCTTCTATACGGGTCAGAAACTTGACCAGCGTGTTACGAAAAGGATTTCCAACAGGTTGCAGACTTTCATCAACAGCTACCTTCGCTGGCTTTATACTGAAAATCAAATAGCCGGCTGGCTAGAAAAAATTAGTAACAGGAAACTTTGGGTACAAACCAACCAAGAACCGATTGCTCAACGAATATGTAGGAGAAAATGGAAATGGATCGGGCATACATTGAGGAAACCATCGAATGACATCGCTCGTGCCAGGTCATTGCTCGAGTGGAATCCAAATGGGAAGCGAAGAGTAGGTCGTCTTAGGGTGACATGGAGGAGATCGTGTGAGGAAGAGATGGGGGATTACGGACACCTGTGGGCCCAGTTGAAGAGGTTGGCAGAAAATAGAAGTGTAGACGTGTTGTTGAAGCCCTATGTTCCACTCGGAGCCCAAGGGGACAATAATTAGCTGATAAAGGATAAGGTAGGAAAAGAGTTAGGGGTGGTTAAACCGAAAGCTGTCGCCTATCTATGAAGTCTTTGAAGGTTATGCAGGGAGGTGTAAGTTGTCTGGTTGGAGATCTCGGAATGCAAGGAAATAATGGCTAGGGACTGTTGGTGATATGGCTTAAAGTCGTTCATAATGGAGCAGATATATTCACTCTTTATACACCTTCATGTTTCCCCATGTTACTGTTGTTTCTCTCGCGCATTCCTGCTTATTATAGTTCTTTGGAATCTTTTTTTCTTCCCTTTTTCTACCTTTTTGTGGTATGTGGAGTGTGATGAATTGAACTACTGCACTTCTGGATAAAGTTCTATGTTGAAATTCAGTCAGTCAATCAGTCACTTAGACAAAATCCTGGAAGTTTGACTGGGATACATCCCTTTTATCATGTATGCACTGAATTCATCCCCTTGTTTATTAGTGCATTTTACAACTTCTAGTGAGAGGACTTATACTTTCATATGTCGCTTCTTATTATTATTTTGCTTGCTAATAAGCTGATCAACAAAATACAATATGTCGTCCAATCTGAATACTTTAAATCACCATAAGAAATACTGCCAGTTCACTGAAACAATGCAGTTCACTATGACCATAACAACTTCGGTTAATTTTTAGAGTGTCAGTTTTGTTCGATTGCCACGGTGAATCTACATTTCACATAGTTATCCAATAATTTCCTCTTTATCTATTTTTCGCCATATATCTACTGTTCTATAATCTTTTATGTTATATTTCAATCATTCACATGATATCTTTAAAAGCTCAAACAGACTCATCCGCTGATATATATTTCATTTTCTTTCTTTAGAACAATCCAGAGAACATCCACTGAACGCTGTTGAGTGAAAAGATGGTTACAATCAATAACACACACATACATACATACCCCAGATCACCCTATTCTGCTGTAGGTTACATTTTTTTAACGACGTAATGAACTCCCTAACCTAGTAGCCACTATTCCAATGAAAGCCTCTCTAAGAAGTTTTATGGCTCAAATGAATGATATTCAGTAGGCCTCCCGAAGGATTTATCATCAAATGTCGGAACAGTTTGGAAGCTGAACATTGTTGATATACATATAACCTTGTGACCATAACATTAGGCCTATGCAGTCATCGTTTACATTGGACCTCCTATTCTTGAATAATTTCGTTGTCTTATTACCACAAGCTATGACACCTTGAATTTCGTTTTATACTTCATGTAATAACTCTCTTCCGTACATCTTCGTCTTTTGCAGTGTTTTATTACATTTCTTTTCTCTACTTTTATGTATGCTTCTCAGAAATGAAGTGACTAGGACTGATGGACATTTTTGCAAAGTTATGCGTTGATCATTTGGTCAGTTATCATTACAATATACAGTAATGGTTGGTGATGGCGTCTATGGTACACATAATCAGTCATGTTTTGAATGACAACTTGAAACAGATTCATCATCGTCCTAAATATTTCTATTCCTTATTACACAAATATTACTGAATAATAATAATACTATTACCAACATTACCTACCACTAAAAGTATCAACTCACCCATAGAAAGCCAATACGGAACACGGAAACTGGCGGAAAGAACTTGATTTTTCAGATGAGGAAGAGACTGAGCGTCAAACGGAAGAGCACCACAAACCATTACATAAAGGATTACACCAAGACTCTAAAATGCAAGTGGCATAAAAGACGAATTTATCTATATATTTATAAACATTTGTTAGCGTATGACTATGTCCTGTTTCGACTAACAATTTCTCAAAGGTTACCCTAATCTGCTATCATCGGTACACCTCAATGTTTATCATGGTATCAATATCAGTATCAGCATATCATATCTTGACTGATTTACATGAATTAAGTGGTCTATAAATTAGTCAATTCACCCAAAACCCTATTTATACACACACTTTATAAAGACTTATTAAAAACAGTTGGGGTAGAATGTACTACACCAAAAGAATACTGCAGACCGAGGATTTGAGGTTACTGTAGCAACGGTGGCGCAGTGGAGTCATTACGCCAGCGGTACTTAGGCTTAGTGTAGTCTCTTTAGTAGAAGAAGTAGATCAATTGAGTTAATGAAACTTTCTCATCTAAGGTGTCTAGGGTAAGTTTTCCATATGCTTCTAAATAGCTTATCTCAATGAATTATGTCAGCTTCAGTAGCAGAAATAACCATACATGCAAATAAGTATTATATGACTGATAACTTGAGCGATGCAGAACATCAGCTCCTTTATGAAGTTCCTGTAAAATGACTGGGATCTACAGTTGGAAAACTCTATCACTTACGCTTCAAAGTACACCGCATCAGCGCAGATATGTCTCTACAGTGCCTTTGTCTAAATAGGAGTATTACATTTTGTTATCAATGTACCTTCTCTTTTGGTACATTTCACTGCCTACCTCTGTACTACCTTTCAACATGCTATGGTGGTGTGGAGCGCAAACCGTATTACTGGACAGCAATATCAGCTAGTCTGTCGACTGGCCTTAACAAAAGTGGTTTACTCCGTAGTTGCTGAAGGATCACTAACCATAGAAATACACACGAAAAATACAAACGCTTTAACAGTATTGAAAAAATCTCTCATAACGCAATGTGAGTAATGGATGGCATTTTTACATCAGTAATTTAATTGCGAAACCGTTTACAGTCGAGTACTGCCTTTACACAATTACTGGTGTGGTATGAATGACAGTGGGGCTCAAAGTAAATACAGTAACTAGTGTGATGTGTGTGTCTATTCCTATCTTTGGTGCAGACTAAACTCTATCAGTCAAGTTTGCAATAGGGCCACTATGCTACGTGGTTCGCCGCCACGGTGATCTGTGAATTGTCGGTATTAGATGGTTGGAGGCCAACCAACTAGCACGAAACCTAAGTCCAAGGCTTCCTGCCGATTGCCCCAAACCATCTAATACACAGAAGCTACAGCGTAATCATCAAGTCAATAACACAATTGTTGCGAAGTGTTATTTAGAACTCATTGACTCTAAACAGATTTTATACAACACCAGGCTGTCATAATTATGGTTTGCAATCTAATAGCAATATCCAGTCACCCAAGCTGAAGTAAATGGCACGACATTCGAATCCAAGACCCATTGTCTGAAAGTCATGTTTTAATACCAATAAGCCACATGTGCACCAAACGAAACTGAAACGATTCATTACTCTCTCTGTTAGAATATAAGTTGGTTTTCTCATGGCTGTCATATGCTCACAGCTCTGTAATCGAGCAGTTCTCTACACCTGCTCAAGCAATACCTTTCAGTGGGAGATGGCAATGTTAAATAATTGTCCAGATATATTTAAAAGGAGTCAGACTTGAAACAATCAATTTCCAAACAGCCAGTAAATGACTAAACAACTAGGTTATAGAGTGACGGCCTACTGAAAAAGTCTGCTTACTGGGAAAATATTTTCACCACAAGACATCAACAAAGAGGTATTACTTACCCAGATATCGGCTTTTACGCCAACATATGGCTCGCCTAAAAATATTTCCGGTGCAGCATATGGAGGACTACCACACCAGGTATTTAGCAGATGAGTAGGTGAATTAAAGTGTGTTCCAAAGCTGAAATCTGGAGTGAAATAATTCAAAAATGCCACCATAAATAATCACAGTAATACAGTGATGACAAATTAAAATATCAATACAAAAATATAGCAATAGTTGATTCAACTCATACACGATCTACTTTTCCTTTAAAGGCGGTTTTCATCATATGCTGTTAGTAGCTAGATAAGTATTCAGGGCACCGGGTTAATCGTCTAAATGTCACACACCAATGCTCTTCAAGGTGGCCAAACCAGGAAACTCCGGACACTCGATGAGAAACTTATTAGCCATGCAGTCAAATCCTAACTGTTGGACCCTTTTCACACAGACTGAAAGAGAGATGTAGGAACACACCAGATACTATAAAGTGATCATATCGGTAAGAGGAACAGTGTACATTATGAGTGTCTAAAATGAGGTCACATATTTAAGTGTGCGAAATTCATTAACACGACAATGAAATTCAATGTACGCTGATGAATACACTTCGCAAGTATAAATGAATTGTTGCTAATAGACAAAATTATTCTGAAATAACAGTTTTGCATATTTTTCTTGCACTACAATTATGCTTAGGTACTTCTTATAGACTAATCAACTAAATGAAACAAATGACGACAGCAGTAGAACTTCAATTGATTAGGAAAACGGGCTGAAACCTTTCACTAAAATCATTTGAATTTAATATGGTCAGGAAAATTCTAACGTTTAACTATTGAAACACGTATAGATTGTAGCAACTAAGACGAAATAAACACACATATTTAATAAACGGTAATAAAAAGGAAGATGATGAAATGAAAATAATAGAGTCTGAAGTTGCGAAAGGGTTATTGTTGGACAAAAGGAGAAAAGATGAAGCAAAAGTACAATCAAGATGGAAAAAATGGAGTACAAATGAGTGCGAGCAACTGTCATTCACTTTTAGTTGTACGATCTAAAACCTCTTACCATTGACTTCTATGATTGTGTGGACTGTAGTCAGGCAACATGCATTTCCGCATATGCATTAAACATTATGTTTCCATCTGACCAATCTTTACTCTCATCCAGTTTATTCCGACTTCCCACACAGTACAGCTGAAGCAGACAATGGGTATGCACGGATAATACACTTTCCAGACACCCGATGAGATGCAGATTTGTGACTTTTATGTTACCTAGGAATCTATGCCTAGATTTTACAATATTCACCTGGTTGCTCCCTGGAATGAGGACGATACTATGACTGTAAAGTCTCACTAAATCCTTTCATCATAATAAATAGTAGGTTACACATGATCATGTTATACACCGATTCAGTGAACTAACAATACACATGTGAAAAAATTTGTCCAACCTATGTTTAATGAATAATACATAAAGGTATAACTTTATGTTAGCTTGTACACGTGTCTCCGTTTAAACACGTACAAATAGTAACAAACACTAACATATCAGTCAGTTAAATGGTATTTTTTAGAATTTTAATACTGCGCACGAATTACCCATGCTGATAACATATCTCGTTCAACTTTTCCGTGTCACATACTGAATAATTTCATCCTTTGTAAACTAAAAAAAACACTTCCAACATATATGGTATTATTGTACGAATAACTACGTCATACACCTTTTCTCTGGGCTGTGGGCTGGTTTTTCACTCCTAAGTTAATATGTGGAACAGTCATAATGTACACTTCACCAGCCTGTAACTTATTAAGTTTTTTTTTTAGCTTCAAAACATTTTAGGTATTGTTTTAAAGAGCCGAATACAGTAGGTTTACAACACAATGATTACAATTCAGAATCCTAAATTTGTTGTAGTTATTTCTCAAATAGCTTTTCATTTAAAACGGTAGTGAATTATTTCCTAGGAACTTTAATGTCAAATTATGTGTTCGTCTTGTTACGCAGTGGCCAACTATCATTTTTGATAATCATCATTAACTTTACTTGCAACGTCAGAAATGTGAAACACAGTTTTCGAAAAAAAAGTTATGCGGTTGTTGTAAGCCCAAATTACTATCAGTAAAAAAATGCTGTATTACTGTATGTTTTTACCATATGAAATTATTATATGATGGAATTATATTCTACCAGTGTTCGAATCCTATTGTAGGAGGAAAGTAAGATGTTGAAGGTGGGTGATGATCGGGAGGGCTTCATGTGCTTTGGGAATTGTGTAGCCAGTTGCTACTTCCCGGCTGCGCACACTGTGAAAGTGATGCAATCTCCATAACACCTTGAGCAACAATCTTCGAATATTCGGCATGCGATTTGTTACTGTTAAATGTAAGATGATACTACATGACTGGATTACATCGACTCCTAGCTTAAAGATATTGAGTGAAGTGGTGGAGTGTGTTAACCCCTTCACTTATTTGGAAAGTTATATCAGCTCCAACGTGCTGAAGAAATTTCAGCACGGATACAAAAGGCTGGTGTAGCTTTTGCCAATCTACATCGTCTCCGGCGTAGACGTGATATCCGGCTATCGGTCATAAGACGTGTGTACTGCTCAGCAGTTTGCTCCGTCCTCCTTTATGGCTGTGACACATGGTCAGTGAAAGTAGAGGACATGAAAAGGCTAGCTGTCTTTGATCATAAAGGTCTCCGTTTTATCTCATGTTAGGTGGTGTAATAGAGCAATATTCAGATTAGGCGTCGAGTGTTAGGTAAGGAGGGAAAATCTATCGATGAGATTGTGAAGCTACATCCATTGAGATGGCTAGGACATGTGTTGCGCATGCCTAGTCATTGCCTTGCTCGACAGGAAATATTAGCTGACATAGGAATAGGTTCGAAAAGAGCTAGTGGTCGTCAGACCAAAACATTGTATCAGTCAATGAAATTTGTAACAGTTGGTTTGAGCCAGCAACGTAGGAAGGTGTAGACTGCCCGACTAGGGTCGTCGGGATTCTAAGAACCAATTGCTAGAAGCTATTGGTAATATAGCATCTGGAGCATATGCATTTACTCTGTGATCAGCCCTAACCGAAAGAAACTCTATTTTTTAAGTTACTGTTCTTTCTCCTTCACATTTCCACTTATTATAGTGCTTCCGAATCTCTTTTCTATTTCATCTTCGTTTGTGCTTCATGGAGTTTGGCAACTCGAAGTGCTGCACTTCTATGCAAAGTTCTGTGTTGAAACCAGTCAGTCAGCCAGTCTAAAAATATTGTTATACCAAATTACCTACGTAAGAATGCCACAGTAGAGCTGGAAGTAATTAATAAAAATATACTTGTACAAACCCACTGAAATAGAAACTAAAACTAGCAATGCTTCTCAACCTTACACGATACTGTTATTTCATGAAAAAACAATGTTAATTGTGTGAGTTTAGCCACTAAAGGAGAGGCTTCCACGAGGATACGGAACGTCAGGAATTTACTTCCCTACTTTCATAATTAATCATTAAATGAGTGCTTAATTTATTTACTTCTATAACAACAAATCTACCCTAATCTCTACAAAAATTACCTACTTATTAATGAATCACGTTTAAACCAATGCCAACTAGCATGTGAATGATTTCAGAAACAGAAGCTCGGAAACATTATTAAAGAGCACTAGAATACTTACCTACTAGTTTGATATTCATTTCTGAATCTAACAATATATTTTCTGCCTTGAGATCTCTATGCACTATACCACATGAATGTATATAGTCGACAGCTGAAAGCACATCCAAGAATTTTACCCGCGCATCAACTTCAGAGAATCGTCCATACGTAGCTATGTAGTCTTTTAGACGAAGTAAAACACAAAAACTTTAATGTTAACGAATATAACACAGTATCATTATAACAATAAAAATACAATATTTAGAATTAGTGATGTGGAAAAATTTGTAGAACACACCCTCGTCATTCATCATATTACAGCGTGGATCTACCAAGGTACACAATGGAAAGTTACTACAAGTATATATATATATATATATATATATATATATACAAATCATGGGTAAGGTAGTCTGAAAACAGTGATTCATACCACATTGAGTTTCAAGTGTTGGCACCATGTACTAACTCCAATAACACCAAATTACTTTCATCGCAACTAAGACCAGTTTAAACTTACAAAATAATTAACTCATACTTCGTAAAACTCGGGAATTAGTTCCAACAATGCTTTACTTGTAATTATAGTTATATTACCACTTTAACATACTTTAGTTATATTCATAACATCATTTTTTTCCCGAAACATGGTAATCTGCACTTTCAACACACTGAGTATATGGCAAAGTTGATTACGAATTGAAGTCGAGGAGACAGACAGAGAGGCTCTACAAATATCATTGCAGAGCTACAAGATAATTATCAAAGAAAATTCTGGACGTATGTAAATCACAATACCTAGTGTCTGATAGGGAAACAGATTTGACTTTATTCATGCAGTTCATTTAGTGAAAAAATTCAAACGAAATGTATTTAGTGCGGAAAATGAATTAGACCTTGAGATTCCTAGACGACATATAAATTTTGAGTTATTTACGAGTTACAGCTAAACAATCTTCAACTCCTGCTTTACACAGTTGTAGGTTTAATTTAGTAAAATGGTAATCTACAAGTCTAGGCACTCATGTTGAACCTGATAGATGAAAGTCCTATTGAATTCAACTAAGAGGAAGTGTTGTACACTTTCTCTTGATAATTTGTTGCACACGTCAGGGGATTTCTCCACAAAAGTGGTAAAACTAAAGTTAATACTAGATGCTTTTAAACGAAGTTAAGGAGACTCGAATTCCAGTAAGCGTTTTACACAGGCCTCCTGAAGGAATAAATAAGAATTAAACTTACTATGGTTTCTGTTTCCAATAGACACACAAATTCTGAAAACGCTTCCTTCAATGACATCACACACACAGCTGTGAATTTTGCGCGTAAACTTGATAGAAGCTGGACAATATGATTTCCCCAGAGTCCACACAGTACACGGGGAGAATAAATGATGAACTATCAGGTGTTGGTTTGCAGGGGTTTGATTGATTACAGGACTGGTCACAAGCTGACAAAAGTTAGAGAACCATTGTAAAACTTGGGAGTACTGGACAGCTTGCGGTTGCGCTAACTATATATCACGAATTGGTGGAAGTTAGAATATATGTACGATTGGGTAGGGTAGCATTGGTTTAATGGTCTACGAGTTAGCCTTGTAACCGGATGGTCCTGGATTCGAACTCCCGCGGGTTCGTGCTGCTAGAGACTCCTAAGCAAGGAAGAAACAGCTGTCCAGTACTACCAGATTTTCCAGTGGTCCTCTAACCGCTGCCAGCTAGTGATCAATCCTATAAATGATGAACGTTGGGAGTCGTGGACAACTGACAATCCGTCAGTTTGGTTTGTACTTTCTCTTCATTTTAACTGCAACAATGATGCCTGCATTTCTGGCACGTAGTTACATATGCTATGTCCAAGTGAAAAAAGTACAGCAAACTCTTAACTTAAATAACAACTAAGTCGATAATCATTAACACGATTGCTGATAGTGACAAATTACTAAGTCCCCTGCCGATGACTCATTATTCTACAGAACATCATATGTCTTAGGCTGATAATCACTGAGATTATTGAACGCCTTACAATTATTAGCCATGATACTGTGGTGAGAGATGGTTGCTAGCCAAATTGGTTGACAGTAATTGAGGTCAATGTTAGTCATGTGAAAACAAGGTCAAGATGGACAGGCGGATACAGTTAACATATAGATGAACTGACACAGCCACAAGAGATTCAAGGTTAACTTTGTGAGAGAAACAACCAATCAACAGACTGTATTTTCTACTAACATTAACCTACAATAATGTACATCAAAATCTATAAATATGTGTTGATTTTCCGTAATAAACGTTCTGTTGCCTGGCCCTTGTCTTCTGTTGTTACAATACTATGATATCTCATTCTTATTATAGGCTGAGTATAAATACATACCTTAAGAGCATGATAAACTAAAATTATCAGCCACATATGAGACTGGTCAGCGAATCAACGAAGGACTTTTCAAGGACATGCATAACTCCGAATTGTGAATCCAAAAAAAACCTCCAAGGGAGTAGAAAATATTACAGTATTACGGTGGAACAAGTAAACAAACAGTAGTGATCCTCATGACATGGTTGGTGATAAGGAATGAAAACATCTGCGTTATGAACAGTTATGATCTACACCACCGTATATTCACAGACCGAAATTGATGTCTTCCGGGTCTAACTAGTTAGAAATGGTCACATAGTTCAGGGATGAATCAATTATGGGAATAGTATTAACAGGAGAAAGTAAAGTAGTCTGAGCAAAAATAAAAAATGAAGACGCTAGGTGACAACAAATCTATGTACGAGTGGATGCATGTGGGCATCTGAAACTTTCCGGCAGCCAATACTATAAAAATGTGTACAAAAGTTAGATCACTGTAGTAGTTGACTTATGGGAAGAAATACAAACAAGCCGAAATTCCCAGGAGTACATAACATAACAATACAAATAAGAAAAACTTAAATATTAAGTAGTGTAGGTCATTCGAAGGCACTTCTCACTGACTGTCCGAGTGACAAAGCAATAAGTCATGAGATCTGGTTTTAACTATTATTCTGATTAATACAAAAAGTCCGACTAATCGTAAGGTTAGCACACCAGGTTGTTCATTATATCTACTGTCCTAGGTAAGACCCAGTTTTAAAAACATGCTTTATAGCTCAGTGAACTGAGTATTTCTTTAAACTATGCACCACGAGGTAAGGCTTGGCCTCATCTAATGAGGTAGTTATCTTTACTTGACGTGTGTGAAAAATGTTGACACTTGAATCTTTGGCTTAATAACGCATACACTGAAATCTAATAACCTGTTTGAGGAATTTGATTTCAGTCACACAATGACGTGTCCATACAACAGAGGTAATTTAAGGAATGCAGTAAACTGAATATAGTTCCTAAGTTGCTTTACTTCAAACTCACAATCTGCTGTCTTATGCAAAAATATTTAAAAAGTGAACAATTTAGGATAACTTACCAAATAATTCTCCATTTGAAACATACTCCATTACCATACATAGCAATCTTTGGGTTTCCATAACCTAACACATGCAAAATAATAAAAAAAATTAATTTACCTGGTAAAGTTTGACGACATTTGAATGGTGAAGTTCCTTCAATATATCCGATTCCCGATACACTTTCTTCAGGTTTTCGGGACTAAGGCAGGATTTGTCAATAATTTTAATTGCAACCTAAGGAAGTTTAGGGTTAAGAATACGAAAGCGAATTACGAAAATCCCAGTTATTGTATGCCTAGCGAGTTTGACTGATGAGAAGATACCCTTTCCGATAGTTCTTTCAATTACATAAGTACCTAACTTTGGCTTTGATGACTGCTGTAAATCGTCCGGCAAATTCATTGTTGGTGTGTCACTTATTGTCGACGTCAACTTATTTAAGTTCGGATATGCTTTACTGTAGGGAGTGAATTTTCTCGTAGCACAATCAGGAGCAGCACAAACACAGAAATTTCCCGAATCTTTATTTTGACAGAATCTAGAAGAATCTTGAGATGAGACGGAGCTGCCGCTAGTAGCAGACCGTGCGTCACAAGTAGAATCAGTCTCACATTGACCGTGCTGACTTGCATTCATTTTTAAACTAAATAAAAATCCGTTAACCAAATGAAATCACAGTGTGTTATGAGAACCAAAACAGTAGCGGGCTAAAAAAGGATTTCAGAGTATTTGATAAAACGAGGCTAGCCAAGTATCCGAGTGGACAAAAACACTCTTGAAGAAAACATGTAACATATATGAATCAACTTGCGATTCAGTACAGACAACAGGTGATAATAAAGCTAACAGATGAAATAACTAGTTTAGACACAGAACGTCTATAGAATCAGTCAGTTATATTCCAAAGCAAAAGTCTATGTTAATACGTCTGGCCACTTTACAAACATATCAATATATCCATCCAAAATTATGAGCGATTATGGACATTCCACAACAAAGATGACCATACGCGAAGAATTGCGCGCTCCACAAAACTTTTAAGTAGTCCGCTAGGACGATACAATACTGACCACAAATGTATTCAGGAGATTAAAACAGACATAATAATCAGTGGTGGAATCCCGAGAAGGAAGGCATAATACCCCAACTCCCGACCATATTGTGACAAGCTTAAGTAATTCTAATTAGTGGCATAGGATAAAGTGTGAAAAGAAGAAGAAAAACATGGGCCGGAAGAAACTATGCATGCACAAAAACTTCTTTTTATTTGGAGGCCTTTAGAGTTCTGTACTTTCGAACAGTTTTAAATTTTCTGGTTGTGAATACTTTTGAAAGTACGTGTTATTTTCTTGCGAAATTTTCTTTTCACATGTTTCATAATGTTATCCGATGAGTGCAACCGCTGCGACCACATACATTTTCTTTCTTTTCTTCAGGTAGTCGCCTACCCTAAGTGTTATTCTTGATATGGACTTGCTTGCACGGATGGTAATTCACAAATATTCACTATAACGCAAGAGTATGCCGAAAGGAGACGAATAGTCTCTTATATACGCATTATACAGTTTATCTTGCACCCCAATCTCTGGGTTTGAAATCTTTCTAGACATCTCACTGGAAAAATGTACCGAAGAGCAACATACATATACTTGTTACTCACGTCTAAGTTTGACTGCCACTAACGCGAAAGTAGTTGTGCATGAAGTCCATACTGTCAGCAAGTCGTAAGGTTCCCAATTTCTGAATGTATGTCAATGTATTTTCAACTTCCTCCCAGCTGCGAAACCGTCTTCTTTGCATAATCTCAAGGAAACTTTCACATATATCCACTTGAAATCACTGCAGCACTTCACAGAACACGCATTATAAAACCACACAGTACCATACAAGTTGGTATCTACTTGCAGAAAACCAATTATTCATTTGACCGCCACTGTTCCGGTCTGTGAAGAATACGGAGAAGAAAGTTTGGTAAATCCAAGGTGAAATAATAATATATTCTCAGTTTTCGTGCCTGAGGGACTCCAGTTTACAGGAATCATCAATATGATAAATAACATACATAAGGAGTAAGCATATTTACAATTATTCACTTACACAAGATAAACGTAAGAAAAGGTACTGGAATAATACCTATAGTGTCACTGTACACAGGCGGAAGCCATGTGCACATTATAATAAAAAGCACCTTCATTGCTTTACTGTGGATAGGTATGATTGGTTACTATAATAATAATTTATATTTCGTATAAACGGGTAAGTTTACAAGTGATAAAACTGTTTTGTATAACGTTTGTTTGTGGATAATATTTGGCAATATTAACGACCGTCCACTCACCACAGCAATAGGCGTCCAGTTAAACGTGCAAAGTAGTATTGTTAGTGACTGTAGACTATAGCAGCCCAGAGCGTAACTACGTAAGAAGGACCTTGACAAAAGTTTATAAATAAGTAATGCGGCATTAAAAACTAGTAACGCAGAACAATTTGCATGTATGTGTTTCAAGAAAAGCTTTCAGTCTCTCACAGTAGTCCTCATAATCAGGTTAGACTGATTTCAGTGAGTAAATTCGTAGAGATAACTGTTTATCGTCGTATTTCTCGACTGAGTCACCACACCGTACCTTTTATTTCGATGTAATTTGTGTGAATCTCATCGAAAGGATTAAGAAAATCGCTCGTATTATTGACCACGTTAAGAATATACTTCCTGGATGACAGTTGGCCACAAGTTTTCTCTGTTTCAATGGTTCTATGATCTAAGCAGATCATTTGTTGTTGTAAGTGACCAAATATCTGCATTCTTTATCGTCATCCAGGAAGTCACATAGAAGCTAAAATGTTGGGAAAGAGAGAGAAAGAAAGAATGCGAACAGCAGCAGCACACAGGAAAGCAAGCTGAGTCCTCAAGGAGTGATTTATAAATTTAGATATATATACTGTGTGGAAATTATGATTATGTTAATATACTAACTAACCAGTTCTGTTATGCTCATTTTTATATTATGTGTGAATTAATATTAATGGCCTACGTAGAAATGTTTATCATGTCCTTCCAATAATATTAACATTTATTATTGTATTTTATCATAACTTACACGTCTAGTGAACTTTTAATATCTATGTTGGGTGAAAAAGAGGGTGTAATATGATAATAATATGATAATATATATTTCACAAAAATTAAGAATTTACACGATTGACATACCATTTGTACAGGCATGATCATATTTGACAAGTGCAATTTGAAATGTAACACTGTTTTATGACATTAAAAATGGGAAAAATGGAAAAAACCTCTAGAAACTTTATTAGAATAGATTGCAATATATTGGTTCAAGTCTAATTTATAGTCTACAATATACTTATAGTCAGTCAAATTCATGCGGGAATTACGAAATTTGGCGTTAATGGAAGGTAAGGAGAGAGGTGGTACACAGGTGCTAGAGTAAGACACACAGGATACAGGCCTTGTGATTTTAATCATTTTATCAATTATCAAGGGTTCGAAAATTGGCGAAGTTCAACAACAGAGTCCCAGGATTGTAAATGTTTCAATGACCTTGTGAATGTTCCAATGACCCTGAACGCATGCTAGTCATTGGTTGAGGAAGCTCACCATTATTCTAGCGCGAAAAATTGTGCGTACTGGTAAGTGACACTGAATTAATTATCTTCTAGTAACTTTCTTTGAAAAGTTGAAACTGTCTTTGATGATTGGTTATTATTGGTGTCGAAAGTTTAACTTTGCCTGAATATCTTGTTTCTATGCAATTACTGGGTGCCAGAGCGAATAACGTTTGGGTTTTAGGAATTTGTGACACCTAGATTCGCAAAGGCTTTATGGAGCTGATTCTAGATAGGAGTACTGATACACTCCTCCCTATTATTCAGTGTCTAGTGTTACCAGGCACCACCATTCACACAGATGAATGGGCGGGATATAGCCAATTATCGCCATAGAGTGAACCATTCGAATGCTTCCGTCGACCCTGTCGCCGGTACTCATAATAATTCCATCGAAGCTTTCTGGGGAAGACTGAAAAATAGAATCCGAGCTATCAACGGATCACAAAAACGAAGTTATTTTCAGTCATTTGGATGAATATATGCACAGAAATTGGTTTAATTTAAAAACTGAAACTCCTCTTAATAATTGGAACATTTTTTTATCTAATATTAGAGAAAAGTACCCTGGTTTTTTTTTATGCTTATTTATGCAAAAATACCTAAATTTATGCAAAAATCATTCTTTTTTCTGATTGCTCGGTTCAACGTCACTTGTGCGTTCGTTCCTTGGGACTCTATTGTAGAACTTTGCCCAAAAATTTATAAAACTCCACAGTAGAGGGCAAGTACAGCATTATTTTGGTATTAACAGATACAAGGGACCAAATTTGCGATGATAAACAGAATTCAGAATGGAATTTGTTCCGTGGTTCGTCGTGTGTGCCAACAATATTCTGAATAACGCTCAAGTAATACAAACGTAGAAAGCAGCATTACTGTTCATTTGCCGTGCATCAATGCAATACCTTCGAGAGGAGAAAGAAGAAAACAGAAAGAGAGGTGCAGAGACAGCCAGCAAAATAATAATAATTTAAGCAAACAATATGTGATAAACGCAGGGTTTATTCCCCTATTTTGTTACTAATAATTTAGAGTCATTGAGTTTTATTGTGTTACATACTAACAGTTCAAGTTTGTGGAAGTAAACAACAACAAAAGATATAGTATAACAAATTTTAAAAAAAACAAGGGCAAAACGAATAGTGATTTTTACACCCATATAGGATAAAATATTTGGAAGGGAAGAAAAACAATAAGAATGATGATACTTATTTATGCTGTTGTTCTGATTTATACAGTTAGATTTCCTCCTGAAGTAGATAAATCGTACCATGAGCTTGTTTTCAAAGAGTTTATACAAAAACTTTGTCATACAGGCAGCTTTTATTTTATTTTTTTGAAGTTATTCAAACTCAGGAGCCTTAGCATTAGAGCGCATTCCCACAGATAAGGGTGGTTCTCTTAAGTCCCCCCATCATATCCGCTGAACAGCAGTGTAATAGTCAGACTCAGGAGTGCGTTGTCATCTGTAAGGAGTCTGGCGACTGAGGAGAAGAATGCTGAAAGTGTGTTTGCATAACGCACATTAGCTGGGAGTCTCTTTCAAATGACTGAAAACTTATTTAAGAAGTTTTACCGTGTATAAGTTCGACCTTGCTCTATAGCAACTAGGTTGTCATGATTTCAAAGACTATACCTTGAGTAGTGCAAGAGAAGATTAGTTAGGTTTTAGTAGAAAATAAGGTTTAGCTTAAGATATCTTTTCCAGAGTGGTTCTATTTTCAGTCTGTCAAAAAGCTCAGCGTAGTCCAGACCGCATTCTTAACCAAGATTTCTAAAAGCAGATTGCCGTTGCACTCCCTCTGATTTAGGCTTGTCATGCTGCAGGAGCCAGCTAAGATTTAATAGGCAGTATTCGAAGATTGGCCTGGCACATACTTTGTATAATGAAACCTTTGTTTCACTACGAAAGGAATTGCAAGCTATGCATTATTGAGGCCTGTGTATTTTACGTCTGTTACAGTATCTGTTCAGAGAACGTCAAATTACTACAGCATCCGATACTGAGATCTATTACTGAGCTGAGCTTGCCCATTTACTTCAAGAATTAGGTCTAGATTACTACTGCCAATGCAAATCCAGCCGCATTCGTCAACGTTGAACTTCAGACAGGATTCAGCACAACTTGTTGCGAGAATCCTTAGTTCGAGACCTATTTTATTTACCACATCGTTTAATCCATGACATATGCAGGAGTTAACGACTTTGAGGTCGTCAGCATGTAGGATGAATTATCTGAAATGAAGCAGTTATAAATGCTGTTAATGTAGACTGTAGGTCGTGTCCTCATCCAAAAATCTGTTCCCACCCTGCTCGAATTTATGAATCGATTTAGCACTAGGCTTCCGTATGTCGTGTAAAGTTGAGTAAATTTATCCTAAGAAAAGGATAATAAAATGTTTTGTAGACCACAACTGTTTTTCTTCGTGTGGCTTTGGTG